ATTAGCTCCTTTTGATGTTCCTTCTGGCAATTCATCTTCTCCTATAGTATAGTTTAGTTGATAATCTTCACCCTCATCATTTTTAGTACATATACCAAAAATATTTATTTTAAAAGGAGTTTTAAAATAAATTGAACCAACTTGTTGAGGTGAATATGGTGCAGAAACACTTTGAGCATAATCATAGCAAATGTGAGTTGATGTTGAATCATTTTTGCATTTTTCAATAGTTTTATTATAATGTTGTCTTTCATGATCTGCTGCTGTAAGATGTTCTTCATAATCAAATTTTATTTCAACATTTGCATCATTACTTGATGTTACCAATTTTAATCTAAAAATTTCACAAGCCTCACACAGATCATTTGAAGCATTTAAAAATTTAATATTTGGTGTTAATTGATTCCAAAGTCTCCAAAAAGTTATATACTGTATATCTTGCATAGATGTACCAGCAAAATTATCCTCAAAACATTTTTTGTACTCTTAAAAACTGATCTATAATTATGCTGAGTTTCTAGATAAATAATTGGGTCTGAATTATCATGAAGTCTCATTGGAGAGGCAATCCATGTAATTCAGCATAATTTAATATATAATTTTTCACCCTTTCCACTACTTCTAAATCAACAAATGCTTGTGATTTAAGTTTAGGAATATTTTTCATATTACCATGTTGATGATCTTCTAAACCATTTGTTAATAAATGTTTTTGCAAATCAGTTAACACACCTTTTTTAATATCACACAATTTTAAAAACACAGGTTTACAAATTTGTATTTTTTCATTATAATTATATCTATAGTTATGTCTAATATTTTCATTGAAAAACCATCAATTGTGTTTTAATAGAAAGTTCTTTTTCTTTTTTATCTAAGCTTTTAAATTCAAAATGTCTCTCAAAAAAGTTTAAAGTCTATTTTTTCAAAGCAACTATGTGGATCATTTGTTGTTTTCACACATTTGCAAGAAGAACTTTGGAAAAATAATTTTAAATCATCAATTACACCAATTACTAAATCATTTTTTTCATAATCTTCAAATTCTTCAAATTCTAATAAATTATATTCTGGTATTGAATTAATTAAAGACATGTTTTTAATAATATTTTGAAGCAATTTTTGATAATTAAATATAATATTGATTATAAAAATGATATTTGACTTATAAAACTTATTAAAAGCTTTTTACTTTCAAAACAAAATCACTACATTGTTTATAAAAATTTATTATATAATAAAATAATCTTGGCCGGTATTATAACTTTGACAATCACCGAGTTTAAAAATAGTATCAAATTTTAGGGGGCAATTTTCCTTTTTCGTGTAACAATTTTAATTTGCGATTTACCTAAAAAAAATCTATTTTTATGGAAGACCGTTTTTGCTAGAAAAGGTCCCATATTAGAAAGGTAAAATTACCAGATTTGGAAGGATTGTCTCCAATAAGCCAATCACAGTGTGGGTCAAACCCTATCTACGGTGCAGATCATCTATAATCATTAATTGCTTATAGTAACAATTGGTCAACTTCAAAATACTAAAACAAAAAAAAATTATCTCATTTTAAAAAATTTAACTGATAAGTTTTATTGTTATGACTCAAGCTTCAAAACTTATCGGCTGGTTTTTTCTTAAACTGAAAATTGGCTGAACCTTAGCATTTTGGAAATTCCGAATTTTGTTATACACTTAAGAAATTGAGACTAAGTAAATTTCTACAACATACATTTAATTTATTTGACTTATTTATTTCCTTTTTTTTATTAATAAATAAAAGTTCTTTACAACAAAAAAGTTTAATTGACGATCCGTCTATGAATCAGTGAATACCGTAAAGTCTGGAAAGATAGCACCCCTACTTTAAAACAATTGAGCATCAATATAAAAAAAATGTTGCACATATGTAAAAAGGGGATGCTATCTTTCCAGACTTCACAGTACTACATAGTGATCGGTGGGGGAAAATTGACAAAAAAAACACTAGTCGGTAACCTTTTATAAAAAAAGTACTATACTTTTGTCTTGCAAGAAAAATTTTTTTTGTGTATACAGTCAACCCCCTCTAAGTGCACCCCCCTCGGGAATGGGTGATAGCGTGCACTTAGAGGGGGTGTGCACTTAGAGAAACAAAGCATTTCATTGGTTACACGTGATACCAATAAGAATAAAAAAAAATTTTTAAATTTATTAATAATTAATCAATTATAACATTATGTTATTATCACCAAAAAAAAAATTTATATAATTATTGATTAAGATAAGATTCTAAAGTACTTTGTCTCATTGCATTTATTGTTTTTAAACTAATATATCTATCAAGAGAATTAACCAGTTTCATTTGTTGACTAGAATTTTCTTGTTGTAATAAAAATGTATGGACAATTTCCAAGCTTTTTGAAGCTTCACTAGTACTTATCAATACTTGCTCAACACTATCATCTTCTTCATCTTCTTCGAAATCATTGGTATCTATTTCTGGTTGCTATTTATACATTTCCACAAGAGCCTCAATAATATTATTATCATCAGGGACTTCATATACAGAATTTTCTTCTGGATTATTCAAATATTCTTGAATAGGGATTGCATCATTTAGATTGAGAGCAGCAACTGCCTGAGAAAGTTGGTTTGTTGTTAGATTGTTAATATCATCAGAGAAATTGGACAAATTAACATTAATTCAGTCTGGAAGAATTTTAGTATGATGCCAGCAATTATAAATGGTTTGTGATGACACTTCCTTCCAACTTTTAATAATAAATTTTATTGCCTGTAATACATCCATTTTTAAATTTTTTATATCATTTCCTGCTTCAACTTGGTTTAGAATCCAGTTAATATGTAAATGGCGATAGTGTTTTTTAAAAGACATAATGATACCAGTATCCATTGGCTGGATTTTTGAAGTAGTGTTTGGGGGAGAAAATGGACATCAACATTTGAAAGAACCAAACCATCTATTTTGTGACTTGGACAATTATCAAGAAGCAATAATACATGCTGGTCACCATATTTTGAAGCAACCTCTCTGTTGAATCCTTGGAGCCAATCTTGAAAAACAGTAGATAACATCCAAGCCTTTGTATTATGACAATATGTCATTGATAAGTTACTAAGGTCAACATTAATAAAGCATTGTGGTTTTTTAAATTTTCTGATTATTAATGGATCCAATTTATGTGATCCATCTGAATTAGACATAAGGCAATTGAAAGTCTTTCTCTATTCTTTTTACATCCAAAAAGTCTTTGTGTGGCTAATGTTCTATCTGGTTCTAATCTATAAAAAAGACCTGTTTTGTCCATGTTGTATATTCTTTCAGGTGGATAACTACTACACATATTTTTCAATAATGGTAAGGCTTCAGTAATTGCATTTATATCAGCTGATGATGCCTCACCTTGAAGCTTTCGTACTTGAATCCCATTCCATTTTTTAAATCTATGGAGCTATCCAGAAGAGAAAGCCAATGTTCCTTCTGGTACCCCCAATCCATTTGCTATTTTCTTGGCTTTTTCAAGTAAAATAACATTGCTTAAAATTACTCTGTCTTGATAAATTAAAATAAACTCCTTAAGAGCAAGTTCAAGTTCAGGAACTGTTAGATTTTTAAGTCTTTTGGCGTCTGGATTAGTAACTTCAGCATTAAGTATTTCTTATTTTTTTTGCAGAATTCTTGTTATAGTTGTTTCAACCACTTTAATCCCCCATTTTTGTTCAATCCAATCAACATATTCTTTTCTAGTCAATTTGTTATTGCCAGCAAATAAACAAAATTCATGTCTTTGAGAATTAGATAAAGTTACTTTACTTTTTGGAGGCATTTTATTTAGAAGCAATAAAAGAATAATATGTTTTAATGTTTTAATGAGATAAGTGTGTGTGAGTGCAAAAATTAGATGGTTGTATACATAAGAATATATAGTTAATTTATAATAAAAGTTTTTATTTTTTATAATAATTTCGACTACATAAGCTTCTCTGTCTGCTTTCTTGTTCTTTGTTCTAATAACCTTTGTATCTATTAAAAAGAAAGAATTCTTTAGTTTCTTGTCACTTAATAAAAATGAACAATTTTTTACCCGCCTGTTACAAAATAATTCTTTATCATCTCTTACTAATAATAAATTTAATTCTTTATTCTTTATTCTTTATCATCATTTACTAAGTATAAAATTTAATTCTTTATCATCTCTTACAAAAAATCAATTCTTTATCCATTTTTTTTTGTTAATGTAACAAAGGAAACAAGGAAAAATCATTTAATTTTATAACGTCGCACAATTTTTACTGGACAACGATCACATGGAGGTCACGGGTGTGCACTTAGGAGTTTTATATAGTTGGGAATGAAAATGACCGTGTAGTGCAGGGGAGAGGGGGTGTGCACTTATAGATGAAAATTTCAATCTTCATGTGCACAATGCGCACAATCTTTTTTATTTTTTTTAAAAAAAAAATCAAACAAATCACTAATACTAGTCTCTGATTCAGACATATATACATCATTATCATCATTTTCACTTCTTCACTAACATCATCTTCCTGTTCCTCATTATCATCACCATCATTTTCAGTATCATTTTTATTTTATTAAAAAAAAAATTTTTTTGTGTTACATTTTATTATTATGTGACATGTGCACTGGAACATCACCAAGAAAAATTTTTTTATATATAATAATAATAAAATTTCAGTTGGAGAATGAATATATTATATTTTGGTCCACATGATATATAACTCAATATACAACAACCCAACCCCTTATTTTCAACTTATTGTAAATATATCACCAATTAATGAAAAATGCTAAACTTTATTGAAATACGCTTCGAAGATCGTTACCATATCAATTATAATAAGTAGAGCCTCTCTATAAAAGGTTAAAATCCAAAAATTTTTCCGAACTGAAGTAAATGCCATCTATCAATATTGATTATTGATATTGTTAATTTTTTAAAAAAAAATATAGATAAATATGAGTGATAGTGATAGTAAAATAAAAAATGGAATCGAAATCACTGTTATTTCAGAAGAGAAAAAAACTAAAGCAGATGCTGCAAAAGAAGCTGCAAATAAATTATTTCAAGGTTATATTATATTTATATATACAAGAATTTTTTTGCTTATTTGATAAGAATTACATGTATATAAATAAATATTGACGAGTAAATCAATTAAATTTAATATCAGAAAAAAAATATGAAGCTGCAATAACTAAATATACAGAGGCCATCGATTTAAACCCCAATGTTGCAGCTTATTATGCAAATCGATCTTTTTCTTATATCAAAACTGAAGCATACGGCTATGCAATTTCAGATGCAGAATTAGCAATAAAAATTGATCCAACATATACAAAGGTATTTATAATATAGGCATTATAAAAGAAATATTAAAAATATTATGTTAATATTCATTTTTTATTTTTTTTCTTTCTTTGCTGGTATAGGGGCACTATAGAAGAGCAGTGGCAAATATGGCACTTTGTAGATTTGAAGATGCCCTTCGAGATTTTCGAATAGTTAGTGGATATCATGCAATTTTTTTCATTTTGAAATGATATTAAAAATTCATCATTGTATAAAAATTTTTTTGATAGGTTAATAAAAGAATTCCAAGTGATACAAATGCAGAAGCTGGTTTAAAAAAATGTGAAAAGATTGTAAAAAAAATGAAATTTGAAAAAGCTATTTCGGTATTTACAGATTTAAGTAATTAATTTTAAAATTTTTGATTAAATTAATTCAGGTTTTTATTTTAACTCTACAGGTAGATCGTAAGTCTGTACTAGATTCATTGGATTTGGACTCAATCAGTAATATTTAGTTTTTGTGTATAAATATTTATTTGAATGTGAAATCATTATCTAATTATTATATATCCAATAATTTTGGTTTGCAATGACAGTTGTAGAATCATCATATGATGGACCTAAATTACAAAATGATAAAATCACATTAGAATTTGTCAAAGAAATGTTAGATTATTTCAAAGATCAAAAGAAAATTCATCGAAAATATGCATATAAGGTATCATTATTATTACTATCACCTCTATTAATGAATTAAATATTTACTCATTCATTAATCAATCACTTTAATCAATAGATTATTTTATCAGTAAGAAATTTGATGTTAGAAGTCCCATCATTAGTAGATATTGATATTCCAAAAGATTCTAAAATCACAGTTTGTGGAGATATTCATGGTATGATATTTATAACAATACATTACATATTAATATACTTTGATGTATTACATTATTGATCAATGATTTTCTCTTTTTTTAAAAAATTTATATAACAGGACAATTTTATGATCTATTAAATATCTTTGATCTTAATGGTCTACCATCTACAAATAACATGTATCTTTTCAATGGTGATTTTGTTGATCGTGGATCATTTAGTTTAGAGGTGATATTGACATTGTTTGCTTTCAAATGGCTTTACCCAAATTCATTGCATTTAACAAGAGGGAACCATGAAACTGATGATATGAATAAAGTATATGGATTTGAGGGAGAGGTGCATGCCAAATATTCTAAAGAAATGTTTGAACTTTTTGCAGAAACTTTTACCACCCTACCACTTGCAAATGTTATAAAGAACAAGATAATGGTGGTACACGGTGGATTGTTTAGTCGTGATGATGTCACATTAGATGAAATAAGAAAAGTTAACAGATTTAACAGTCGACAAATAAATAGCGAAAGTTTGATGTGTGAAATTTTGTGGTCAGGTAGAGACAAACATTAAAAATGTAATTTATGGTTATTTCAAGTTTTATTTATCAAAATTCTTTTTTTTTTTATGACAAAAAAGATCCACAAATATTACCAGGAAGAAGTCCAAGTAAAAGAGGATTAGGTGTACAATTTGGACCAGATGTTACTGAGAATTTCTTGAAAAGAAATAATCTTGGTAAGCTGTTGAAGATTTTTTTGATATTAATTAAATTATTTGATAATAATAATTATTACTATTATCTATTTATTTGATTATTACTGTTATTTAGATTATTTAATAAGAAGTCATGAAGTTAAAGAAAATGGTTATGTTATAGAACATAATGGTAAATGCATAACTGTTTTTTCAGCACCTAATTACTGGTAAGTAAATCTGATTGTATGGTTTTATGCATCATTCATTCATCATTCATACATTAATTTGATTTTTTGATTTTTTATCAATCAAAAGTGACACAATGGGAAACAAAGGAGCATTTATTGTCATCACACCAGACTTGGAGTTAAATTACAAGACATTCACTGCTGTGGTAAGTTTGAATCTCATACATCTTATATATATATAATATATTCATTTCTCATCATTCATATATTTATATTTTGTATATAGCCACATCCAAATGTTAAACCAATGGCATATGCAAGACAGTTAGGAGGTTTACTTTCATGACACTATTATTTATAGCATAAAATTAAATAATGTTATATAAATATGAACAATCTTTTAATTATTAATAAATTTTGTAATTTTATTTTACAATAAATTTATCAATATATTAATATTAACAATAACAATTATAATTTATAATATCAATTTTTTATTAATCAAATAATTCAAAAAAATATTTAGTAATACTAACACCAAATAATATATTTTTCAAAAAAGGTTCTAAATTTATTTTAAATTTTTTATTTCATCAACTAATGATTTCAACTTATCCCACTGATCCAATTGTAATGAAATACCTTATAATATGTATATATATTTTTATAATACATTTATACTAATATTAATGTTTTAATTATTAAATTAAAAATCACCTTTTTTAGTTGGCATAGGTGTTCCTCCATCAACCTCAAAAAACTCTCAAATATCTATGGTGCAGATCATTTATAATCATTAATTGCTTATAATAACTATACATGAAGTTGAAACTATTTTGACCGTTTTGCAGATCTGGTCAAAATAGGGTCAAAATAAGGTCGAAACTGATTTTTACTATATATATAATTGCCTCAAGTCAAAACATTTTGACTTTGGGGTTTTAATTTCGACATCATGTATAATAACAATTGGTCAACTTCAAAACACTAAAAAAAACTTATTGGCTGGTTTTTTCTTAAACTGAAAATTGGCCGAGCCCTAGCATTTTGAAAATTCCGAATTTTGTTATACACCTAAGAAATTGAGACTAAGTAAATTTCGTGTAACAACTTTTTTTCATAAAAATATTTTCTACAACATACATTTGATTTTATTTATTAATAAACAAAAGTTCTTTACAACAAAAAAGTTTAACGAACATATTACATTAAAAGAAAATCATTACCAATTTTGGTCACGAGATTCAAAATATCGTAACACGAAAATTATTGTTGTATTTCTGAGCATAACTTTCAAATTTAAAAAATCTATGGAAAGAAAATTTGAGACATATTTTTTAGATTAATAGCAGGGCTGGCTGCGTAACTCAAATGAGCACTTGGCTAAACTGAGCATAATGGACATTCGTTTATCATATCGTGACTTGGATTTCATTGGCTAAATTTTACAATGATCACCCTCCAAAAAATCACACAAAAATCAAATTTTATTGGCTTGAAGATCTTTTACAAAAACACATAATTTATAATTTATATATATATACAACTTTAAACAATTACTATTAATAAAAAATTTTATTTTTCAAATTGTCAAATATTAAAATTGTTTTAGGACAGTCAACATCCAATGTAGTTAATTGAATATGAATATAAAATGTATGCATAAAATCATAATAAATAGTTTCTTTTGCAATCCCAATCATTTTTCCTCTTTGCATTGGGTGAGTAATTAACCAAATATGAAGAAGAATGCACTTCAAAAATTATAAATGCTACAATTATGAATACATGTGTTTTTTTCCTACCAAAAAAATGTAGATTTCCCATCTAATATTAACACATTCACATCATTTTGAATGATATCAATTATTCATATGCCTATATATCCCTTCCACATATAAATTGAATTTTACATCATGATCAACCTTTAATGTTATTAAATATGCAATGAAGTATACCTATTATTTATATTAGTTGTAATACACCTTATTATCTATCTAATTTTGATTTTCTTTGAGGATTCTCTGTTATCTTTGAAAAAAAAAAAAATAGAATTGAGATATTTTTCCTTATATTTTTTAATAATAGTTGTATATATATACAGTATAAATAAATATATTGCTTCTTTACCTGCTTATTATGTCTATATATTAGTTTTTCTTTGAGGATTCTCTGTCATCCTTGAAATAATAAAAAATAGTTATATATATATATATATATATATATTATTTTATAATCCAGTTTTGTTTTGTTTTTCTTTGAGAATTGTCATCTTTGAAATAATAATAAAAATAATTTTTAATAGTTATATGTATATAATATATATTATTTTATAATTCAGTTTTTCTTTGAGAATTGTCATCTTTGAAATAATAAAAAAATAATTTTTTAATAATAGTTATATATATATGTATATAATATATATTATTTTATAATCCAGTTTTGTTTTTCTTTGAGAATTGTCATCTTTGAAATAATGAAAAAAAATAGTTGTTTTAATAATAGTTTATATATATGTGTGTAAATATGTGTGTGTTATATATATTATTTCTTTACCTGTCTATATATTAGTTTATAATCTAGTTTGTTTTTCTTTGAGAATTACCTTTCAAGATTAATAAATAATTTTTTTATTTTTTGTATAAAATTATGTTTATAAAATTGAAAAAATTCGGTACATATTGAAATCCTTCAAAATCAATGATCTCCCTTGATCTTTTTGTCCAAGCCTTTTAACTAACGAAAAGTATATTCAAGCAAAACATCATCGTTTTACAAGTAGTTTTTAATCACCCATGTTATAACCAGCCTTTTCTATTTTAAAACAATTGAAA